AAATTTCATTTCATTTTTTTTCTTTCTTAGAAAAAAATTTTTCATAAAAATTTCGTAAATTTCAATAAAATAAATTTCCATAGAAATTTCGATGATTCATCAAGATTTACAATAAAATTTTTGGAACTTTTTCAAATTATACAATAAATATCATTGATGAAGTTTGGCTTCAAAAAAAAAAAAAAAGGAATGAAAAGAGCGAAAAAAATTTTCAGACAAATTTTATTTATCGTATGAATTTTTGATCAAACGAAACATACAAATGTCGTATGAATTGATTAAGCGACAAATACAAAAATGGTCAATCATTTTGTCTGTCGCGAAGATATTGAAATGACAATTTTAATATTTAATCCATCGTTTGTTGTATCATAAACCGGACAAGTTTTTTACTTCTTTATTTACTTAGATAGACAAACGCATACACACACAGACAGACAGACAAACACACACACACATACACACACATACACATACACACACAGACACGGACACACTACTACACAAATATATTTATAATGCGATGTGAATGTTTGAATTATAATTCAAAATTTGAATAATTTATTGCTATCATAGATTAAATAGGAAATTTTAGGGAGTAATTTGTTATGAGGAAGTGGTATATGAATGAAAATGATAATGGTTGATAACAGGATGATAATAAGATCAATCATTTGGGTTATTTATCAGAGGTATATGAATAAAAATAATAATGATTGATAACAGGATGATAATAAGATCAATCATTTGAGTTATTTATCAGAGATATATGAATGAAAATGATAGTGGTCGATAACAGGATGATAATAAGATCAGTCATTTAGCTATTTATCAGTAATAATTAATTGCTTCATTGTGTAGACATATTGTGCTAAATTAATGTATACATTAAATTTCTTTCTCCTTTTCTTTTTATTTTTTTTTTTTTTTTAACTCTATAAATATGATGTTAATGTTATTATGATAATATTCAATGATTCCTTTTAATATAAGATATTAAAATATTTCAATGATAATTTTTTGATAATTGATAAATTCATATTTGCTGAAAATTTTCACTCAAAGATTAATAATTTTCCATATTATCATAATAATTTAATTGAAAATTAATGCAAACATTACGATTAAAATTATGATAATGGTTAAAAAATTGGTTAAATTTCTTCACATAAAAAAATTAAAATTCAAAAAAAAAAAATTTGAAAAGAAAAACAAAACAAAAAATTTTTTACGTTCAATAAATACGTTTGATAAATTAAAGTTTGATAAATTAAAACCATTACATAATTATCATCATGCATTCAAAAGATCAATGTTACGAGATCGTATATAAATATTATTAATGAATATCAAATTGTTTAATCAATTTCTCATAATCTAATCATAATTATCAAGCTATGAACAATAAGTTATCAATGAATCACTCTTATAAATGATAAGATTAAATATAAAATGAAATAATGATTTTCTTTGTAATATGAACAATGAAAATATAAGTGACAACTTCCTTATTCGAACTAATTCTACCATAACATTCGATAACAAATTTTCGAATTTACAAAATAAAACTTGATTACTTAAGAAAAGAAAAAAGTTATTTTAAAATATCAGTTAAATTTTTATCACTGCAATCTATCATCAGTAACTGTTTACGGCAATTTTCCCTGTTATATGTGATATGATATGATAAGATCTATGTGTTTTTGTTTATCATTCGATCAACGATCACAATTATTGTTACTTGTAATTTTGATTTTATTTTGTTTTTTTCTTTTTTTTCCCTTATCAAACGGTATTCTGATGAATTGTATCAATCATATTCCGTTTCATTCCTTTTCGGATTTGTCACATTTCATTTTTCACAAACTTTATTTGCGCAAAATTACTCCTGAATGTGTAATGCTTCAAGAAATTTACAGTAATCCATATAATCATAATTGTACAATTACATTTATCTGCTTAATAATTATCAATTGTTTTATCTTACATGCCGAATCATTTCATAATCAAACAAAAAAAAAAAAAAAAAAAAGCTGTAAGCAATGACAATGATAAATTCCTAATGAAGGGAAATTTTAATTTGAAATGAGGAAATTCGAATTAAATTCAAGCAAATCCAGATTATTTATCCATTTATACATGGTGGTCAATTATAATTAAACTTGCTGAACCTTTATTTTAATAATTTAAAAAAAAAGGAAATCATTTACTCTTAGATTTTGAATTTATATTTGTTTTTAAAAAAAACAAAAAAAAAAACGGAAAGGTATTCCTCCATTTGTTTAGTCTAATTTTTTTTTGTTTTTATTTTTAATTTTTAAATTATATTATTGTTATAGTACAACACATTAATCAATCCTTTAATGCATGCAATAAATTAAGTTTTTTAAAATATTTTGCAATTTTTTTTTTTCTAAAACATCTTTCGTTTCCTTCATTTCTTACCCAATCAACTTTTCTTATCATTAATGATAAGAATGATTTTAG